TCCCTCAGGTAAGTGTATATTTGCTGACATTCTGGACCTGCTCTTTACACAGGTGGTATAAAAATTCTTGAAGTTTTTTATTGTTTTTTATTCTATGGCAACTTGGATAGAGATTGTTGTATTCAGTTAACTCAATTGTTGTATTTGTGTGCGTGTGTGTGTTTTATCTTTTAAAGGCTACAGTAGATACTTCTTGAATTTTCCATAAGTGTTTTTATCAGGCATATTTTTCTCTTTCAAAAGCCTTTTGTGTTTTAATTTAAAAAGATAATGCCACCAAAAGTTTGCTTTTATTTCAAATGCAAAATAACTAAGATTTTAAACTTTTGATCTCATTTTTGATTTTGTTTTTAAAATACTGAAAAAAAATAGAACTAAACAGTCTGATATTGTAGCCACTTACTTGAATTTAAATTGGTGGAAATTTTAAAAATTTGTCTTCTCAGTCTAGCTAATCATATTTCAAGTGCTTAGTAAACATTTATGGCTAGTGGCTACCATATTGGACAGCAAAGATGTAAAACATTTCCATTTTCATAGTTCTATCAGACAGCACTGACATTTATGGAGGATCTAAAGATTTTCTAATTATAAGCTATTGCTTTTTTAACCTTTTACTTTGAAATGTTTTTAAAGCCTGGCTTGGTGGCTCAGCCTGTAATCCCAGCACTTTGGGAGACTGAGGTGAGTGGATTGCCTGAGCCCGCGGGTTCGAGACCCGCCCGGGCAACTTGGCAAGACCTCATCTCTACAATAAATCAAAAATTAGCCGGATGTGGTAGCAGGCGCCTGTAGTTCCAGTTACTTGGAAGGCTGAGGGGGAAGGATAGCCGGAGCCCAGCAGGTCGAGGCTGTGGTGGCCGGGAGCGGCCACTGCACTCCAGTATGGGCGACAGAGTGAGACTGCAACGCAAAAAAAAAAAAAAAAATTTTTTTTTAGAAAGAAAAAGACAACCCATGGAATGGGAGAAAATATTTGCAAATTATATATCTGATAAGGGCTTTATACCCAGGATAAGGAACGCATGCCTACAACTCACCAATAAAAAGACAACCTAATTTTAAAAACGGGCAAAGAATTCGAGTAGATATTTCTCTGACCAAAATATACGAGTAGCCAATAAGTACAAGAAAAAAAGCTCAATGATGTTAGTTACTAGGGTAATGCAAATCAAAACCACAATGAGATACTACTACACACCCAATAGTATAAATACCTGTACTTTTTTTTAAGCATGGAAAATAAAAAGTGTTGGTGACAATGGGGAGAAACAGGTGTCTTTAAGCATTATTAGTGAGAATGTAAAATGGTGGGACTGCTTTGGAAAACAGTTCGGCGGCTCCTCAAAAAGTTAAACATAGAGTTACCACAGGACCCAGCAATTCCACTCCTGGCTAGATACCCAAGCAAGATAAACATACATGTACACACAAAAACTTGTACATAGCAGCATTATGTTCATAGCAGCATTATTTATAATAGCCAAACAATGTAAAAGACCCAAATGTCCATCAAGTGATGAAAGGAAAAAACATGGCATATTCATATAATAAAATATTTGGCAATAAAAAGGAAAGAAATGCTACAACATGAATTGACCTTGAAAACATGATGCTAAGTGCAATAAGACAGTCTCAAAAGACCACATAACATATGATTCCATTTATATTAAATGTACATAACAGGCAAATCCATAGAAACAGAAAGTAGATTAGAGGTTACAGGAACTGGGTGGAAGGGAAGAGTGACTGCTAATGGGTACAGGGTTTCTTTCTGGGGTGATGAAAACATTCTGAAATTAGGTAATGGTGATGGTGGTACAACTCTGTGACTATAACAAAGGCATTGAATTGTATACTTTAAAAGAGTAAATTTTATGATATGTGAATTATATCTCAATAAAGCAGTTATTTTAAAAAGAAAGAAAAATGGATAAACTAGAAAGCATAATTTTAAACAGGATATAAATATTTTCAGTATATATTTTATTAATAACACCATAATTGTGTTAAAAAATCATTAATGGAGCCGGGCTTGGTGGCTCAGCCTGTAATCCCAGCACTTTGGGAGGCTGAGGTGAGTGGATTGCTTGAGCCCGCAGGTTCGAGACCCACCTGGGCAACTTGGCGAGAACTCATCTCTACAATAAATTAAAAATTAGCCAGGCATGGTAGTGCGTGCCTGTAGTTCCAGCTACTTGGAAGGCTGGAGGCGGAAGGATCGCCGGAGCCCAGCAGGTCAAGGTTGCGGTGGTCAGGAGCGGCCACTGCACTCCAGTCTGGGCGACAGAGTGAGACTCCAACTCAAAAAAAAAAAAAATCTTTAATGGAAGGATGAGGATCTTAAAATTGATACTAAAATAAGAAAAACATGTTTGTAAAGCAATTTAATTCCAGAAAATTTCAGGGTAAAGGCACAGGTGCCTCAGGACTCCCAGAAAGCTTTTCCCAAAATACATGACTTTTTTGAGAAGGACTGAAAGAAACCAGAATGTGCCACAGATTTCTGTTTTCTATACTGTCCGCATGTTCTGTTCATCCTTCTCCATGTTTCTACTTCTAGCCTATTAGATTTGAACCATAAACAAAACAGCACGAGACCCAAACTTCCTTTACATAATAGCCCAGGTTACATCAGTATCAATTAAAGAACAAAGTTAGAATGTTAGAATTACAGGTGTAGGGGTCTTATACCATTTTACTCTCCTCTCAATCCATCTCAGTTAGGCTCACATATTCCAGAAATGCAAGTTACCTGATTCTTTTAAATTTTAAGAGAAAAGATAAAATAATTTTAGAAATGTTTGTTGCCTTTTTAAATCCTTATTTTAAACTACCACACCAAATAAAATGAGTAACAATGCCAAGTTGGCTCAAACAAATAAATAATCATGGAAAAGCCTTAGGTCTATTTTCATTATATGTCTTACCCAACATCATTTTGGCTTCAAAAAGCAACTTAATATCTAAATACTGAGAGAAAAGCATTTTTTTAAAACTTTCAAAAATAACTATACTACTTAAAAATTCATCTAACAGTAGATATCAACTTTAAATCTAACCATGCAACATCAACAGCACAATCTTAGACAGCTGTCCTCTCAGTTCTAAGGTACATCAACTGGAATCTTGGCCTTAATTCAGGTGAATTTCCTTCATGGTAGCGCCAGGATATAGTAATTTTATTGTTTCTATCTTTCTGAGACAAAGGACTGAATTCTAGCAAACTGAGCCAATGGCTTCTGGAAGTGCTGACGGCGCAGACTTTCCTGACAGACGAAGATGAGGGACACACTGTCGCCTCACATGCCATACCTGGTATGCACTGTGCTGTGGCCTCAGTGGTTATGGTTGGAGCGACTGGGGGCTGCTGCTGACTGGAGCTCACTTCTGGCTCTGTGTTAACTGAGGGAGAAAGAGCTACCTCACAGGAGGAGACCTGGCTGGGCAGATGGGACAGGAACTCTTCAGAAGCAACTTGCTCATCCTGTCCAGGCAGCTGCAGGGCAGACAAAGGGATACTGATCTGTTTGTTAGGATGAGAAGTGCTTACAGGCATCTGCATGGCCACCTGCTGACTGGTGCCATGGGCACCAGGAGGTCCTCTGTTTGGTGAAGCCAGAGAAACCCTAGCAGTCTTCTGGACAGCTGGTCTTGAGATCACAGAAGGGGATGCAGACATACCATGTGGGTCTAGCTCCAAGCTGATGGCAGATGTTACATGGGGAATCAGCTTAGCAGACCCTACACAGGAAGGGCCAGCATGAGTCTGAGGTTTGGGTTTTGCCATCTGTGTCAATGACAGGGCTGGTCCATCTACTCCTCCTGTCAGCTCTGCATTTGCCACAATGTAATAATCTTCAGGAATCTCTTGTTTGATTTTCTTGATGATGACGTCATTGCTGCATTCATCAACTATCTGCGCCTGGGAGCTTGAATGGAGGGAAGATGGGGCTATTCCAGGTCTTTTGCGAGTAATGCTTTGAGGTCTCTGGGTTTGGGGCTCAAAGTCACTATCCTCATCTGTAACAGAAGACTCACAAACCATGTCAAACAGGGTGTTTTCATCTTCATATTCTTCAACAGCTTCATCCAGTTCAGAGGGTTCACTACAATAAGAGAAGTCACAAGAGTCTCTGGTCCGATTACAGTCTAGCTTTGCTTTCACTGGTCTCCCAGGGTACCTTTCAACAGGGCTAGTCTGTGTCTCAGAAGGTACCCCAATTATACTGGGACTATCAGAGTTAAAACTTCTGTTATCCTGGAAACAGACCCGCTCTTGGGACCCAGCTCTGCAAGTAGCTGTTAGTGGCCAATGATAAGCGTGGCCAGCACTACAGCCCCACATTGCTGTCAGGTTCCCATGGGAACCTTCAGAAAGCAAATGTTTCAGGTTTGGAATGAGGCTGCAAATGGTCCCATGACTGTGGGCCCAGCTGACCAATTTGGATAGATTCTCTGATGAGGTATGAAGACAATCCTCCATGTTACAGGATCGGCAGTGTCTTTCCTAAAGGGAAATAATCAAAATAAAAAGTTACTATTACTCAAGACATTCCCATATCTCAATTACTCTAATTTCTTTCATATATGATCATTTGACATAAAAAAGAAATGCACTTCAAAACTGAATCTCGTTAATATCACTGTGTATGAGCAGAAACTAGAAGGGAATACCAGGAAAAGTAAAAACAGCTGATAACTTCTGGTTGTGGAATTATTATTATTATTATTATTTTTGAGTCAGAGTCTCACTCTGTCCCCCAGGCTTGAGTGGAGTGGCATGATCTAGCTCACCGCAGCCGTATCCTCCTGGGCTCAGGTGATTCTTCTGCCTCAGTCTCCCAAGTAGCTGGGACTATAGGCATGTACCACCACACCTGGCTAATTTTTTAATTTTTTTTTGTAGAGATGAGGTTTCCCTATGTTGCCTGGCTGGTCTCGAACTCCAGGGCTCAAGCAATTCTCCCACCACAGCTTCCCAACGTGCTAGGATTACAGGTATGAGCTACCACACCCAACCTGGTTGTGGGATGTGGAGAAAAATTTTGTTAGTTTCCTTCACCGTTGTAATAATTCTTGCACAACTGGAAAAAAAAGAAACAAACAAGAGGGAGGGATAAACTTTTTCATGCTACATTTTACTTCCAAAGTCACGTTCAGTTGGTCTCTTAATAATAAAATCCATGTATTACTTGTATTAACCAAGAGGATGCACTTCTAATGTCACACTTTGTCATCAGAAACTTCATTACTAAAGGGAGAACCAACAAAGGAGGACTGGATGGATGTCAGAGAAGGAAAGTCAATCTTCTACTGAGAACCAGAAAACAACACAATTGGGAATCCAAGGAGAGAATGATGGGCTAAATGTGGGAAGTGGGTAAGAAAGTCTTTAGCACAGAAAGCAGGAAAGATTGGGAGGAGACACACTGGATGGGACAGGCTGTAGACCAGAAACAAGGATGAGAAGGCTGGAAGTCAGCATTCTAATCACTTTTAGGAGCAGCCTTCTCACCTCCTGGCTGTATGAAAATCCTGATACACTGCCTTTCATCTCATGGCTAGAGGTAAAAGGTGTATCTGGTGTACTCCCCCATCTAAGGAGCCCATAAACTCAAGGATAACCACTATCAAATAGAAGTACATCATTCATTCTTGGGCAGGAGACAAAGAGAACCATTTTTTATGAGTCCTTGACTAGGAATTAATGAAGACAACAAGACGCTTATAATCCCAGCATTTCAGGAGGCCGAGGTAAGAGTATTGCGTGAGCCCGGGGCTTTGAGACCAGCCTGGGCAACTTGGTGAGATCTCATCTCTACAATAAATTAAAAAATTAGCCGGGCGTAGTGGCATGTGCCTGTAGTTCCAGCTACATGGAAGTCTGAGGCAGAAGGATCACCTGCGCCCAGCAGGTCAAGACTATGGTGACCATGAGTGTGCCACTGCACTCCGGTCTGGGCAACCAACAGAGTGAGATTTCAACTCAAAAAAAAGAAAAGAAAAGAAAAGAAAAAGTGAAAGGGGGCATACTAAGCCTGCAAGTGGGTGGAAAGGTTCAGCAAGACTCTGCCAAATGGGAGATCCTGGGGAGAACTAAGCAGGGAGGCACAAGTATCTTCTTGTGTTAGTCTGCCCTGGTCATCTGCTGCTGTGGGTGACAAAAGGTGTCTCACTAGCGCTCCACACTCAGGCACCAAGGTCTAACTGCAATGCCAGGTAATCATGCCAAAGTGAACATCTGAGCCTCCATTTCCTGCCCTGACTCCGCAACTCCTTATCAGCAGGGTTAGATACGTTCAAGTCCTTTAACATATTACTGAGGTCTCTGCTGCTGTGGTCACAGCCCAGCTCTCAAGCCTCATTTTCTACTACTGCAGCCTCTTCCCATACCTCTTGTGGTCCCCTCTTCTCCAAACACAGTTTCTCATCCCCACTGGACCTCTAAAAACTCATTCTTTGCCTTGGCACACAGCTCTTCTCTTTCCTCACCTGGCAAGTCCTTTCAAAACTAAACTTGGGGTCACCTCTGTTGAAGTCTTTCCAGATTCCCTTTTTCTGCCTCAGAGATTCAGATTCCCTCCTTCACCCACGCCTCCATCATCTCTTAAGGAATTGGCCTTTGCTGTTTTATCACTGACACTTTTGTCTTTCTCTTGAACCTGACTAAGGACTCCCTATGCGCAGGGACTATCACTTCCTTATTCACTCATCAATGAAGACCTACTTGGGAATATAGGAATTAATCAGACACGGTCTTGTTCTTTTTTTTTTTGAGTCGGAGTCTCACTCTGTCACCCGGACCGGAGTGCTGCAGCCGCTCCCGGCCACTGCAGCCTTGACCTGCTGGGCTCTGGCGATCCTTCCGCCTCAGCCTTCCAACTAGCTGGAACTACAGGCGCACGCTACCACGCCCGGCTAATTTTTTTGATTTATTGTAGAGATGAAGTCTCGCGCCAAGTTGCCCAGGCGGGTCTCAAACCCGTGGGCTCAGGCAATCCACTCACCTCAGCCTCCCAAAGTGCAGGATTACAGGCTGAGCCACTGAGCCTGGAGGTCTTGTTCTTAAGATGTTATAATCTATTGCCTGGCATATAGTTGTTGCAAAATAAATAAATGAAGAACAAATATATAAATACCAACAGCCCCATCAACACTAACAAAGTGAACATACAAGACTCTCAAATAAGAGACATGAATTTTCCTCCAATTACTTTTATTGTAATCATTCAAGAAATTGCAGAGTTTTCTCTCCGATGATGTAACCAAAACACAGCTGCCTTGTGCATATAGGAGACAAATTCATAAGCAAACAGTAAATGGAGAGAACAGTGGCTGGTGTGGGGTCAGGCACTTCAAATTCCAGGCCTGGAACTACTGTCTGTGGCCTTGGACAAGCCACTAAATATCTCTAAGCCTAAAATGACAGAACTACATGATCTTATATTTCCTTCATATTCTAGCAGTTTAGGAACTTATTTCATTTATATTCCTTTCATACAATTTAGTTAAAGCAGAAATGTAGACAAAAGAGAAAGACTAGTTTGTGTGTTTCTTTTGAGCTTCTGAACATAGTTCTTTCAGAGAGCCCTAATTTGTTGGAACAGCAATGTGCCCACTAAAACACACTTCCCAGCTGCCTCTGAAAAAAGGGTGGGCCTATGACACGGTTCTGGCCAATGACTTGGTAAATGAAAGGGGTCTGGACCATAATCCTGAAAGACACAATCTTGAGTGCCATAATCCTTAATGTTGAAATCCCCAAAGATTAAACTTCCTGAAGTCTGAAATTCCTAAGGTCTAATATCAAGTTCACAATCACAGGATAGTGGCATCATGTTAGGTCAAACTATTATCTTGCTATTGTCTTTATTTGGAAATTAAGTATGGTTTAAAGAAATGCATATGGGTGCCATATTGACAAAGAGTAGACTTATGGACTTAATTTTAGGTGTCAGTTTTACTGGATTAAGGAATACCTAGAAACCTAGTAATGTGTCATTTTGGGTGTGTCTGCTAGGTGTTTCCAGAGGAAATTAGTATGTGAGTGTGAGTGGATTAGTTGGAAAAGATCTGCCCGCAGTGTTGGCAGGCACCATCCAATTGGCTGGGGTTCCAAAGAGAACAAATACAGGCAAATTGGTCTTCTTCTGAGAACTGAGACAGACTTTCCTTCTGCTGCCTTGGGCATCAGAATTTCAGGCTCACCAGCCTTGGGGCTCCAGGTGTACACCAGCAGTTTTCGAGGCTTCTGGTCTCAGACCGAGATATACATTACCAGTATCCCTAGTTTTGAGGCCTTCAGATTTGGAATGAGCCATGATAACAGCATCCCAGGGTCTCTAGCCTACAGATTGCCTGTCATGGGACTTCTCAGTCACCATAACCATGTGAACCAATTCCGCTAATAAATTCCTTCTAATATATATAGATATCTATATGTAGATATATAAATATCTCTTATTGGTTCTTTCTGGAGAACCCAGTCTAATATAGATTTGGTACTGGAAAAACTGAGTATTATTTCTTCTTCCTGTATTAAGTTATTTAATGATGAAAGATTAAAAGTTTAAAAGCTAATTACTATTGGTACTGCAAAAGCAGAAAATCACTTAACTGTAACGGCTGAGCAACAACCAGACTTTCAAATGGACAGTACATACTTACAAAATTTGTAGACCACAACCACTCTCCAAATACAAATGCAGCAAGTATCACAAAGATCACAGAAGTGAACATGCAGGAAAAAAGTCCAAGAAATTTCCTCTACCAAAAAATTCAGTCATATGTGACTTCTGCCCCTTTTGCTATCCATGCTTGCCTTCAAAAATTTGCCCTTTAGCTGGGCTCGGTGGCAGAGCCTGTAATCTCGTGCCTTTGGGAGGCTGAGGTGAGTGGATTGCCTGAGCCTGAGGGTTCGAGACCTGCCTGGGCAACTTGGTGAGACCTCATCTCTACAATAACTCAAAAATTAGTCGGGCGTGGTAGCGCGCGCCTGTAGTTCCAGCTACTTGGAAGGCTGAGGCGGAAGGATCGCCGGCGCCCAGCAGGTTGAGGCTGCGGTGGCCGGGAGCGGCCACTGCACTCCAGTCTGGGTGACAGAGTGAGACTCCAACTCAAAAAAAGAAAAAAAAATTGCCCTTCATCAGAGAATAAAAGGAATTTGAAAAGCTCACTGACCTTCTGAACCAAACACACTTTTTGATATTACACTTCCTCCACTGTTACAAAACACATTAACTGGTGAACTATTCCAGATTAGGGATCTGATTGTCAAAGAAGATAGACTTCTTATATTTACCACTAAATCTAACATAGAAAAACTAGTACACGCTTCACTTTAGCTCATGGATGGCATTTTCAAAACTGCCTCCACTGTTTATCAACTACATACAACTCATGTCTCTACTGGATCTGAAAATTCTAGAACTCACCTACTCATTTATGAACTAATTGACTGGAAAAAGTGAGGCACTTTACAAACACTTGTTTGAAGATTTGGTGGAC